TGGGGCTAGATGACCTCCTTAACTCCCTTCCAACCTCATCTGTTCTATAATTATGTATATAAAACTGATACAATTCGCTCTTCACACATTCAAGATGAATAAAAGCTGGGCTTGTGATGTCAAATCTGTGCAGGCAGACCCTTTTCATGTCTGAAATATCCCTTTTCCGTGTAACTCTGAAACCTCTGATGGTAAATTGCAAGACAGGAATCCTGGTTGGGATTAAAAATCCTGATTTTTAATGAGGTTTCATAGATACCACTGTAAGAGAAGAATAAAATGCAGCCAAAGTGAGAGTCCTACACTGCTTTTTATTGTCTTGGTTAATTCTTTTGTGGGTTTATTTTTCAATTAACTTTCGAACTGTATGAAGACTAGTGTAACTTTGGAACTTTTAATAGGATTTGTTATTTTTTCTCTTGAAATACAAAAGTAAAAAAACCCAACATCGTTTTCTGGCTATAAAATTACTGTCATCTCATTAACTTCAACAGCAACTTTCTTTGACTAATGACTACAGGACTGGCAGCCTTGAATGTTAAAATAGCATTTTTTTAAAAAAAATCCAGGAAATTTGTTCACAGTAAAAATCTTTTCCTCCATCTCTTTATCTCCCCTATCTCCCTTCTTTTCCTATACGTATAAGCAATTAACTATCCTGGTATCAGGTGACTCCCATGAGAAGGTGTTTGCAACACTGTAAACCATGGTCTGTGACTCTTTCTGTTGTATTGTCTGGATTTTAATAACACGATGAATTTGGTTCCAAATCATCATAGCATTTCAGTTAAAACAAATGGAAAAGGAAAATGACATCATGACAACTTGATTTTTTTTTCTTCTTCTTCAGGGTTTCTCCAAAGATATTAAAGTACCAAAAGCAAAATATGTTGGCTACATCAAGGATTATGAGGGTGCCACATTAATGGGATGTGAATTAAATCCAAGGATTTCCTACACAGAATTTTCCGTCATCATTAAAAAGCAAAAAGAGGTAAAGGCTAAAATGAAACACTAAACATTATAATCTATTCAGATGTTTATAAACAATTCCGTTAGTGCCAAGTTAGCTCTCTGCTTTGGTGCTTAAAACAAACATTGAAATGCATACTTTTATTAATTAGAATAATTCTTTCATTCAAGTCCCAGTGCCATAGTTTTGCAGGTGAAGCATTAAATTCTACCTTACTAACTTTACGATAACAGGTGTGTTGAAAAGCGCTGATATTTTAAGGAGTATTTCATAGCTAAATTTTGTTGTAGATGACAACTAAGAAAAATCTTGTAAGGTTGAATTATTCTGCAGCTTTGTCAATTTTTTCCTCCCTCTTTCTGGCCCAATGACAGCAGTGTTTGTTTGAGTGACTTTTGAATGGAGTGTTTCTACTGCCTGTCCTCTATTTTACTTGAAAGAAAGGGAATTATTTTTTCTGCCATTGTTTTAATATACAAATCAAGGGTGGACCGTCTTAAATTCCAGGCTGTCCCATTTTGGAATTTATATGTAATGTTCTTCATTTAGTCCATAGTAATATTCTGTATAATAAGGCAGTTTATTAGCAAGATAATTAAGTTGTTTCCAGTTGTGTTTAAATACTTTCCTTGGGTTTTAAAGAAATACAGTTTACAAGGATAATTTGTTTTTTCAAGGTTGGTCAAACCTCATGACTTTTTATTTTGTTAAAACGCTTCTTTATGGAACAATAATCTTCCATTCAATAGAACTGTTTGGCCCACGCTTGCAGAAAGGAAGACAATGTCAGAGTGCTACATGTTTAGTTTACAACGTTTCTTAATTTCACTTATTGGGAAATCTTTCATATGTCCATATGTTGTGGTTTAGCCCAGCTGGCAACTAAATGCCATGAAGCTACTCGCTCACCCTTGCCCACCCCTAAGGAATGTGGAAGAGAATTAGAGGCAAAAAGGGAAGGAGACTTGTGGGTTGAGAGAAGAACAATTTAATAATAATATAAAATTAAAATTAATAGTGATAATGATAATATATGAGTATACATATATGTATAATGATAATTATACATACAAACAAGTGATGCACAGTGTAATTGCTTATCACCTAGTGACTAATGGCTGTCCGGTCCCGGTAAATGATTCCAAAACAGATAAGTCCTGACACCTCAATCCTGAATGAGGGAAAGGGGGGGGAGGGGAGAGAAAGCACTCTGAAAGACTGAGAGGGAGAGCAAGAAGAGAATAGAAGAGCCCCAGAAGAGCAAGACCTCTTCTTCCCAGTCAGCCCTCATCTTTATACTGGGAATGACGTTGCATGACATGGAATACTTCATTGGCTAATTTGGCCCTCAATCTCAAGTCTAAGTTCAAATCATGAGGGGAGTAGTGGGCCTTTTGTCCTGGCCATGCTCCCCCGCAGCCTGTTGTGCTTCTGCACACAGGCAAAAACCTGGAAGCCGAAAGGTCCTTGAGGTCCCAGTGCCAGCTATAAATATCAGTGCGCCATCAACGTTCTTCTCATAACAAATCCTGGACTAAAACCAAAACACAGAGCTCTTCTAGCTGCTAAAAAGAACTCTGTCCCAGCTGAAACCAGGACACCATACAACATAGATCATAATTTTTCCCTTTCATTTCTGCTTGGTTGGGTTACTCTTTAGATCCCATCTACTGCTGGACATGCCACTTTCCCCTCAGGGATGGGGTATTGTCAGGATGGACAGACAGTGGACGTGTCTCTTGTAGCCTATTGCATCTCTGGCATGCTTAACTGCAGTAATACAGCTCTAGGCCCAAACCATCAACATGTCACTTCCAGAAACTTAAGTTAATTTTTAAGATTTTGGCTCTGGGACTACTTTATTAGTATATGTTATTTTGCATTCTTCACTCTCTTATTTGGTGGGATGTCTATATTGTTCCAAAGCACTTGGAGACACTCCACTTGGAGAAAAGTGCCTTGGTCCTCCAGACATCCCATGTCTACCATGATTAGAAAGAAAGCTGTTGTTATACACCGATCTATGCTGTTGTATCTTCTCTGAGAATAAATATATACACCTTTAGAAGTGCATTTTAGGATTGCCAGTTTGACACTCAAAGCACACATCAGGCTTTTTAAAATTTAGTAGTAGCTCTCACAGTCTGCAGCTTTGTGAAGAGTGTTCGCTTGTCTGCTCAAAAGTGATGACGATGATACGTGGACATAAGTAGAATTTTGAGTGTTGACAGCATAGATTATGTACTGATGTACACTGCTGCTGGTATTGGCCAGTGCTGGACATCAGACTTTTCTAGTCCTGTCGTTTCAGAAGTAAAGCTTTTTATGGTCTAAGCTTTTGTTTAAAGAATTAGTGTATATGCCTGTGGCTGCTAAGACTGTGGCATCTGATACTGGGTGCCAGTCACAGACCACCATTTGTGAGTTTGCACTGCCTGATTTGTAGCTCATTTACAGTCATTCTGAAAAATATGAAAAATTCCTTTCTGCAAAGCTTTATGACCTGCTGACTTGTGAGTAATCACTGTTACTGATTGAACAGCTTGATTTAATCAGGAAGAGCCACTAGTTCCTAAATTATAAGAAGAGTTTAAGGTGGATTTAACAATTGGTTTGAAACTATTTGATGTTATGCTGGAATCTGGCCATGGTGCTGTGTATACTGTATTTCTCTTAACATTTATCACCTCTGTTGAAAGTTTCTTTTCCTTTACTTTGAGAGAAAATACTATATGTGGGGGAATGAAGGTCCTTAAAAATAAAAATATGTCCATCTTTATTATTTCCAAAGAAAATAGACTCTCAGACTGTGGTGCTCTGAATGGCTGTGCGTTTGTTGACTCAAGGTCATGAAGTAAGCCATTTTCAAAGTGACATATTCAGGACACACACAGCTTACGTAAGCGTCTAAGTGTTTTTCAAAAAGCACCAAAGCACATTACTTAGAATTGAAGTAATGAGATTGCAAAGCAGAACAGAGTGTCCCCCAGCCTATTCTGGCATTTACAAGCAGAGTGGAATATCGGTTCCAAAGAGTGTCATCATTCCAACTTCCTCGAGAGACATTCTTTAGTAAGAGTATTTCTGACTGATATCTGAGCAACTCCTGCCATTATATGGAGACTTCGAAGTGAACAAGTATTTCTAAAATTTTGGAATATGAACATATATATGCATTGAAATATGTGTGTTCAGTATGTGCCTTGAAATTTCTGACCAGCTGTGCTGAAGCAGTTTAGAAGCACCAGCTGTTAGAATTACAGCCTGTTCTCCAACCTGCTTCCAGCAAATTTCCTTCCCTACCTCTGCTGCCACCTTCCCAGGAGCTCTGCAGCTTGTGATCAATACAGCCAGCAGTGACTACTTTTTGTCCAGATTTGTGCCTAAATAGGCAGCTGAGAGACTTGGGCTTACAATTACAGCATAAGCGTTCGGCCAGGTAGCTCACCAGCTTCAGGAGATCTGTGAGGACCATGAAATTAGGAAGCGAGAGTGTTTGTTCATCACGGTTTTACATTAATCCTCTGGGTTACTTTTGAGCAAGTCAATTATTTTTTGTTTTCTCTGCTGATTTATTACAGATCATTAAAAAGCTCATAGAAAGGAAACAAGCTCAGATACGAAAAGTTTATCCTGGCCTTTCTTGCTTCAAAGATGGAGTACGGCAGATTCCTATAGAGAGCATTCCTGGAATTAGTATGTATCAACTTCTTTTAATGTAGAATAGAAGCAGAACAGCCCAAGAAAGGTCCAAGGCTAGAAATACTAATGTAGTCACATATTTCTTTTTGATTAAAATGTAATTTTTTTTGTCTGTTGATTTGATTTCTGAGAAGATTTGTTGTTGTGTTTCCAGTACGATCACTGCCTTCAAGACTTCCCTGAGGCATCCCAGGCTGATGCTCTTTTATGTGCTTGTGTATAATTCTATTTACATGCGATCCCTCTTTGATTCGTATCGCAGTGTAGTCAGCAGTTTCCCTTTGGCACCACTGTTATGCACTGCGCTCCTGTACAAGCGTTTGTTCTGTGCTAAACATGAACTTACAGGACAAAACAGAATTAGAACGTGAAAGTGTCATCTTTTAGGGTATTTTTTTCAACTGTGCTTTTCTGCAATTTATTCTCTGTCCCTAGGGAATCAAATTGGATAACTTTGACATTGTTATTCTTTACGGAGGTAGTGATAAAATATGTATTGTATTATTGAAAAAATATGTGTTTCATGTAGGAATATTTAAGAATCTTTTCAGCAGTCTAGAGGAAGAGATGTAGGAAATTGAGTGGGGCTGTAGGCTAGATGGTTGTGTTATATATTAGGAGTAGCTTTTATTAAAACAAACCCATTTTACTGCAGCAGTGCTGAAATGGCTAATCTTTTTAGAGTTGCAATAACTCAGTTAATGTTTTGACCTACTGTAGTTCCCATGTAATCTCTCATGTTGTTGGTGTACAGGAGAGACTGGCTGGAAACCAAGTGGAAAAGAAAGAAGGTAAGTGCTGCACAAAGTAAAATAGTGAAGTGGTTTGGAGATTCCTTTGAGAAAAATCTTTAAACAGTGTTATTTGATATTTCTTTCCATCCATTGGAAAACAAATAATCTGCAAGGGGTGAGTTCTTAAGTGGGTTTGGGGTGGGGTTTTTGGGAGGGGTGTGTTGTTTTGTTTGTTTTTTTTTATTTTATTTTATTTCTTCTATAAAATGCGTGAAACTTCGGAGTTGCTTTTGGGTAAGATGCATGTCGTAGGAATGAAGATAAGGGATTCACACTAATCTTTTTGTATTCATCTTTTCTTTCAAGTAAGGAGCCCAAGGATCCAGATCAACTTTACAGCACATTAAAAACCATCCTGCAGCAGGTCAAGGTGAGTGCTAGTTCTAGTTTACCTTCTTTAAAGATTTTTAAATTATTTCCAATATAGAGTTTCCATATTAGATACCTTACTTTTTTCTTTACCAAAGAGCCATCAAAGCGCTTGGCCCTTCATGGAACCTGTGAAGAGAACAGAAGCTCCTGGATATTATGAAGTTATAAGGTTTCCCATGGGTAATGCCATTAACATTTTTTAAGTATAGAGTTTAAAATCTTTATAGCTGGAAACATAGCAGATAAATCGTAATCTGATTAGTTTATATTAAAAGATATATATTACTTGCAGCTCAATAGCTTGCAAGTCTGAAGTGCCAAGAGTATGATGCTGTCATTTGAAATTTATGACTGCTTTGTGACCTTTGTGAAGCATCTGTAGTGTATACATGTGAAATCTTAGTATGCTCTAGAGAGCTCTAACAAGCTCTGAAACAGTGCAGTCAGTAGAAACTCTTGGGACTGAGCTGGTTTATATGAGTTGTAAGAATATGTTCTTATGTGTGGTAACTGGACATTGCGGGTCCTACTGGTATGTTAAAAAATCGAAAGGCAAACTCTTAGGAACACCTGAGCATTTGAATTGCTTTGAAAAACAAATTTAAAGTTTCTAAATCACATAGAAAAAACCTTTTCAAAAGTATGAGGGTTTTCTAATTAAGTCTTAACAGTTTGCTCCAATTTAAGTTTAGGAAAATGCTTAATGCAACTGATGGTAAGATAAGTTTTATCTTTGTTTTTTAGTTCTGCCAAAGTTGTTCAAGTTTTATTTTTCAAATTCATATTTTATTTTTAAATCATGCAGCTATTGTTTATGCAGCATTACTTGCAAAGGGAAGTACGCAACTGCTAATAATGTTTTTCTTTGCTTTTGACTGCTGGGTCATGTAATTTCAGGGATGATTCAGTGCTATTCTAAACAGATGCTTGTTTTGATTTGTATTGCAGCAGATTTAAAACTGAATCCTGCTCCTCCTTCATTTTTTATGCAATACTCACCTTCATCTTTCTGATTACAGTTTCTGTACCTTTTAAAGTTATTAGAGAATGAAATACAAGTTCATTGCAGGCTACTATTAATCAGTTTCTCAGAGAATTAAAGTGTTTGTTCATGTTGCTTTGCATAGGCTCCTTGCCTTTGTATGCCAATTTGGCTTAATGATTTTTTTATATTCAACTTATCATTTGCAAATAGCAAATATATATACTGTACAAAACAGCAGTCGTCTTCCTGTGTCCCTGACACAAGTGTATTTTCTAGCAATGAAGAAAAAGAATCTTGACACTGGTGGCAGAGTTTTCTCTATCTGCTTTTCTGAGCAGAGGCTAGATCTAGGTGGCTGTTTAATTTGCATAGTCATTACAAAGAACTTACTGCCTGGCTTGGCAAACCCAAAGTAGGAATGTTGTCTGTCCTTTCCTTGCTCAGATGCAGTCCACTGAAGGTGAGGGCAGCAGCTCTCATTTTAAGATTAAGCTTGAGGTCTTTGGTTTAGTTTTGCTTTGGTTTTTTTTCAGCTAAGGAACCTAACACAACTAGACCATGCTTTGATTCATGATCAACTTCTACTTGCTTTCTGCTCTCACTGCCAGCATGCTGATACTGTAAAAAAATCACTCAGACATAATTTCAGTTAAAAAGAATCAGCATTGTCTTTTCTTATGCTATCACATACAAGATAAAACATTTGTCTTTACATTTGCATGCAGACTAAATTGTACAATATTCGAGAGGTATGGCCATACATTGTTTGACTACCTCCTAAGGTCAGTTCTCATGTATAAACGCTTTTTCCTCCTGTATTAAGTCCTCTATCAGCTGCTTCTTTTAAAGAAATAGGTGTGGGTTTTGGTTTTTTTTTCCTTTTTATCTGCAGTACAAAAGCTGTATGGCTGAGTGACAGAGGGAGCTAAACCTTTGCTGTAGTTAGAGGAGAACAGTTTAACTGCCCAGCCAGGCAATGTTTGCTTTAGGGTGAGCTAAAAAGCCTTCTCAATTGGATATCATAATTAGACTATGAATATCTAGTTTAGATGTCGGCACCTAAATTTCAGGTGCCTGCTGAATGGGAGCTGAATGAGCGTTTACTTTGGAAAAATACTGTGCAACACTAGCAAATGACACGTTATATATCATTGGAAGAAGTATTTGAGAGCATTCATCAAACTTTTCTTAAATAATCCCCTCTTGTCAATTTGTCAGGGTTTTTTCTCTATTGCACTAAAGTCAAATCTCCCTTTAAAACAAAACAAAACAAAAACCAACCAAAAACTCAAAAGCAAAACAAAAATACCTGCAACCATATTTTTAAATCTTAGGTTTTAAGTTTTAATTCCTTTGCATTGGAGGTCTTTGGTCTCTGCTTTCCTTGCAATACTTGCTGGTAGTAAGTCTTCTCCGTTGCAACTGTTTCTGTTACGGTTTCACAAAGGTGCTACTGAAGCCTGGCTCAAGCATTGCTAAAAAAATACTTGTTAGAACATCTGAGGTAAGAAAAGCCAAGGCATCCAGCACCCCTCCCATTACTTCTAATCCTGTACTCACTCCCAGAACACTTGTAATTTAGACAAAAGTTTTACATGCCTGATAAGAATTACAGGGAAAGCGACTGTGTGGAGAACACCGAGATGAATTATGTATTTTATGGATAATTGATTCTAGTATAAAGGAAAACACTTCTTAAAGAATGTTCTGTAAGTAAAGTTTTTGTATGATGTGTTGAAAGCAGGAGAGATCTGTGCTCACGTGACAGTTAAAAAAGGATACCTAACTGTAAACTTTCAAGATGTAATTGAAATATATCTGGGATGTGGAACATCTAATCTTTTTTCAAAGCTGCAAGTACTGCTTGTAGTATAGAGAGATGGCTCTTCTCTGCTGTGTTCACACAGAAGTAAGGATTTTAGGTTAACGTATGTGATTTGTGATGTTTGAGTTCTTTGCTTCTACACTCCTAAGGCCTCCTCCAACAGAACTGACAACACCTTTGCCTCACAGAGCAGTTAGAGGAAAGTTAGGGACACCTAACAGCCATGGAAAACTCAGCGAAATATGAGAACACGAAAGAATGATGCTTTAATCTTTTAAAGAAGAAAAAATAAACTCTACACAAAATCATTCTTAGGGTGAAATACTGCTTAGTTCCAGGGGCTGAATTGCTGTTGAAGCTAAAAAAGAGACCACACCTTAGATGAAGGCAATTAGGAATTCCAAATCCTAGCTTTGCCAGTTCGTCTTAAATGGCAAATCAGTCTAAAGGGATATTACGTACAAAAAGTATTTGAATCAAATGCTGTTAATCTATTTTTTTCCTGTACAGATCTCAAAACAATGAGTGAGCGACTCAAGAATAGGTACTACGTGTCTAAGAAATTATTCATGGCAGACTTGCAGCGAGTCTTTACAAATTGCAGAGAGTACAACCCCCCCGAGAGTGAATACTACAAATGTGCCAATATACTGGAGAAATTCTTCTACACAAAAATTAAAGAAGCTGGATTAATTGACAAGTGACATTCTTTTTTACAGCCGATCAGTGTGCCTACTTTGTGGGCAGGGGAAGCCGTTAAACATCCTAGTTGTGGGACTTTAAGGTTTCAAGAAACTTCTGTTTAATACTTAGCACTTTTAAAAACCCTTTCAGTTTTGCAAACATGTATTATACTGAAGTTACAAAAATTATTTTATTAAAATGCTTTATAATGTATTTAATTACGGAAAATTTCTTTTGTGTGCCCATTACCATATATTCATAACAAGTTTATCAACTACAGCCTCAGAAAGCCCACAAAACGTGGGAAATTGCACATGTTTGGGAATATGAAGAAAATTCCCAGACAATAGATGTTATACCTTACCTAATGCAGTACCTATTTGATGAAGTGTTTTTTTTTTTTCCAGAAAAAAAGAAAACAGTAAGGGAAAACAACAGTTGGGGAGGGGGTTTCTGAAACACTTGTTTCTTTGTAGAATCTTTTTATAAGATATTATTTTTTAAAAGATACACTCAGCTGGTTGAGAAGCTGTGAGAAGAGCAGCCAGTTCTGAGAAAGGACTGCCTGTGATCTTTGATAGATGCAAGTTTTTCTATTCATTTTGGGTTTTGATAAATATTTTACCTGCAAATTGTAATCTCATAACCACTATTTAAAAAAAAATAAATATCTGGCTAGATGTGTAATGTGATAGTGACTTGGCTTATGCAGGACATAAGTACCTAAAAAAACTTTGGAGAATCTGATTCGCGTATACTAGACAATTTCGACTGGCTTAGTAGAGTTAAGGTTTTGATGCACTTCATGATCCACTCTATTTCCTACTCTTCACTGATAAATTCTTTAGGTTATTCAGCAGAAAAAAGACTGTTGTACACAAAAGAAGTCAACATATGACAGTTTCTAGCTTATATACTTGGCTCTGTGGTAAACTGGATTTTCTACCAAGCTTTATTGTGAATGCTTATTAACTGTGATTATTCAGACCCAGGAACATATTAACATTTTACAACTCATGTTAGGATATCTTCAAATTGAGCACTTATATATATTATATATATATATTTTGCTGCTTACACTACATTTCAGAGGTACACCTAACTTACTAATGGAGATCAGTACAGGCCAAAAAGTTGTCACTTGGCATTTTCTAATTAGATTTGTAACTGTAAATTATAATTGCTTTTGTGAAAAACAGATTTAACTTTCATTCTTGATGTTTTATATTTACAGATGTTACACTGGTAAAATTCAGTAGTTATAAAACTGAAAAAATACCCAATCCTGTGCTGTGTCAAAGAATATATTCCTGCAAAATGCCTGTGCAGTCTTAAATCACAAGTCGATTCAGCAAGTAGATGTCAGGAACTACCTGGAAGTAGTAAATGTGGTACACAAGGTGTTCAAAATGTTAACACTAGACTTGCCATAGTGTTTTGTATGAGATTAGTCTGACCTACATTTGGATCTATAACAAAGGTACAGTAAGTATTTTTTTTTTTAATAGCCAGTACTGGATGCTATAATCCTGTTTTGTAGATTGGGCCTACAGATGCACCTGTTAAGCTTGGTATCCTGTGAAATTTTGTTATTTTCAGAGTAGATTTTCTTATCGTCTTTCAATCAGATTGTCTCTTCTATATTGAAACATTTGTTTTCTAATTTAAGAATTAATATTTTCATAGATACTGTGCAATAAAGTTACGGTAGGATATGTGGTTTTGCAAATGCTTTAACAGCTGATGAACTTTACATTTGTAAAATTAATATATTGTACTGGTACAGAATAGTTTTAAATTATATATGTACAAAACCCAACTTATTTTGGTCTCTTTTTTTCATTAATCATAGAATCATATAATGGTTTGTGTTGGAAGGGACCTTCAAGACCATCTAGTTCCAACCCCCCTGCCATGGGCAGGGACACCTTCCCCTAGACCAGGTTGCACAAAGCCCCATCCAACCTGGCCTTGAACACCACCAGGAATGGAGCAGCCACAGCTTCTCTGGGCAACTTGTTCCAGTGCCTCACCACTCTGAGTGAAGAATTTATTCATTAGATCTAATCAAAGTGTACCCTCTTTCAGTTTAAAGCCATTTCCCCTTGTCCTATCACTACATGCCCTTGTAAGAAGTCCCTCTCCAGCTTTCCTGTAGGCCCCCTTTAGGTACTGGAAAGCTGCTAGAAGGTCTCCTCTTCTGCTAGAAGATCTTCTCTTATCCAGGCTGAACAGCCCCAACTCTCAGCCTGTCTTCATAGGAGAGGAACTCCAGCCCTTGAATCATCTTTGTGGTCCTCCTCTGGACTCGCTTCAGGAGCTCCATGTCCTTCTCAAGTTGGGTGCCCCAGAGCTGAAGGCAGTATTCCAGGTGGAGTCTCACCAGAGCAGAGTAGAGGGGCAGAATCACCTCCCTCAACCTGCTGGCCACACTTCTTTTGTTGCAGGCCAGGATACGGTTGGGTTTCTGGGCTGCAGGCACACATTTCCAGCTCATGTTGAGCTTCTCATAAACCAATACCTCCAAGTCCTCCTCCTCAGGGCTACTCCTAATCCATTCTCTCCTCAGCCTGTATTTGTGCTTGGGATTGCCTGACCCATGTGCAGGACCTTGCACTTGCCCTTGTTGAACTTCATGAGGTTCACACAGGACCACCTCTCAAGCTTCTCAATGTCCCTCTAGATGGCCTCCCTTCCCTCTAGCGTGTTGGCCACACCACGCAGCTTGGTGCCATCAGCAAACTTGCTGAGGGTGCACTCGATCCCACTGTCCGTGTCACCAACAAAGATGTTAAACAGTTCTGGTTCCAGTACCAACCCCTGAGGAAAACCACTCGTCACTGTCTCCACTTGGACACTGAGCTGTTGACTGCAACTTCTTGAGTGCGACCATCCAGCCAATTCCTTATCCACTGAGTGGTCCATCTATCAAATCCATGTCTCTCCAATTTAGAAACGAGGATATTGTGCAGGACAGTGTCAAATGCTTTGCACAAGGTCTCGAACGGGATCTTCTACAGTGGGTGGTTCTTCATTCTCCCAGTCCCTGCCTTTGCCTTCTGTGACTTGGGCAGTGTGGCTAGAGTGTATTTATCAGTGAAGATCGAAGCAAAAAATTTATTGAGTACCTCAGCCTTTTCCGTATCCTGGGTAAGCAAGCAATCCTTGTGGCAAGGGGACACAGTGCTTCAGGTGTGGCGCCACTAGTGCCAAGTAGAGGATCACCTTCCTCAACCTGCTGGCAAAACTCCTAATGGAGCCCAGGACACCATCAGTGTTCCTTGTGGCAAGGGCACATTGTTGGCTCCTGATCAACTTGGTGTCTACTAGGACCTCCAGGGCTTCTTCTGCAAAGCTGCTTGCCAAACAGGTAGCCCACCACATGTGCTGGTGCCTGGGGTTTTCCCTCCCCACCTGCAGGACTTTGTACTTCCCTTTGTTGAACTCCCTGGGGCTCCTGCCTTGGCAGGGTAGCCGAGGGTGACATAGAGAGCAGCACTGAGTTGTGACTCGGCACAGGAGGAGTGATTTGGGTGCTGCTGGCCCTAGAGACCCCCTGGCTGGAAACATCTGGCCTGGCAGCAGCTGCAGAGATGTTGGCCTTCATCTGGGCAGCACTTGCCTTCAGGCAGTGGTGTTTCTTTGATGCATCTGGGGCACTGAGAACCTGGAAACAGACTTGTGGGGCAGCATGTGCCCCAGCTCCTGGCCTGGCCCTCCTTTTGGCTGCTCCTGGGGCCTGGTTCTGCTTTTGCTGGTGAGGTGGCCTCTTGGGGGGCTGAGAAGAGTCACTGGAACTGCCAGCTCTCCTCTTTAGGGGTTGCTGCAGCCCCCCAAGGGAGCAGTCCCTTCCTGGACTGGGAACTGAGGGACTTGCCCTAGCCTCTCCCCGATTCCTGTGCAGCATTTCCTGCTCCCTGTGGGTGGAAACAGGGGTAGTGGTGGAGGTAGAGGGGTGCTCCCTCTTCATCAGTTGCAGCAGCACTGCTGGAGGGGGCTGGCCAATGGCAGGAGACCCCAGCTGGGAGGCAGCAGGATGAGGGGCAGCTGTGGGGCTGGCCTCCCACTCCTAGGCAGCATGGCTGGAGCAACACTCCCTGCTGCAGTGTTGCACGGCAGCACTGATGAGCTGGTGCACGTGGTGGAGGTAGAGGGGTGCTCCCTCTTCATCAGTTGCAGCAGCACTGCTGGAGGGGGCTGGCCAATGGCAGGAGACCCCAGCTGGGAGGCAGCAGGATGAGGGGCGGCTGTGGGTCTGGCCTCCCACTCCTAGGCAGCATGGCTGGAGCAACACTCCCTGCTGCAGTGTTGCACGGCAGCACTGATGAGCTGGTGCACAACCATCACCGCACCGTTCCAGAGGCTTGCCTGGAGCAGCCAGACCAGGACCTCTCTGTCCAGCCCAAAGAAACCTAGCACAGACAGGATGAGGTCTTTCCATCGCAGCTGCCATTGAAGGCATCTCTGCCAGGATCAGCCTCAGCTGCTGTTGCAGCCAGGGCAGAAAGCACTGGAGCAAAGCGGGGCACTCATGAAAAAGCCATGCCCAGGTGTCTGGCTAGAGGCCACCTGCTGGACTATGCTAGCTTGCAGTGTCCCTGCTGCCGTCATCGCCGCCCTTGAAGCAAATATGGTAGCTGTGCAAAAAGAACACCAATCAACTCCAAGGTGGTTTTGAACACTAAGATGTTTATTATGAGCTTCAATATGAAACTACAACCATTACATAAACAAGATCTGTACATTGTTATTAAAAAAACAACACAAAAACATTTGATCTTAAATGCCTAAAGTTCACCTTTGCCAACCACTGTGAGATCAAGCAGGGCGTAAGTCAAAGTTACATTCACCATCTTTTCCATCAGATATTTCTGATTACTCACAGATCCCTGATGTAGGGATGCCTCCTCTCAAAAGAATTTGAATGGAATCACTTTAGTTATGAAAGTAGTCATGTGTCTTCTATATTGTTAAAAACAAGTCACTGGATTAAAACTCCTTGATTTTATACCCTTAATATTGGACACAAAGAATTGCATATTTGTGTAAGACACACCGTGCAACAATAATTTTCTGGATGAAAGATTTCTTCATGGAGCAAGCATGGTTTTGCTATCATAACTGGAAATCTCAACGACAACCAACAAATTTCTCATTGTATTTTGACAGAGGTACTTTCTTAAGAGAATGGCGTTTAGAATCTTTTTTCTGCTTGAAAATTGGAGAATTAAGAAAATTTGTATCTGTAAATGGATCGCCTCTCCTGAGTTTCCTGTTAAAAACCAAAACAAAACACAGCTAAATTGAGTTTAGTTCCCCATGTCACTTAAAGCATTAACTTTCAGCTAGTAAATTCAATTTCACATTAACTATTTCGTATTACTAACGTCAGACCTCTCTCTGAATGTTTTGTTCAGAACTTATTTCCAATATTTAAATAATCCCCTTAAATCCTCTGTTTGATAGAATATCATGAACTTTATATCAAACTGCAAAGAGAGACACCTACCCTGCAATACTTGGTTCTTTATAGCTCACAGTAAGAGTACAGCTTCGCTTGCGTTTTGGAGATCGTGGTCCTTCACCTTCTGGGGTAATAGTCGCATTCCCAGTGCTGGGCAACAATGAAGTGGTATTGGTAACATCACAAAGACGACCACGAGATGGCTCAGAAGGCTGCCCTGGAAAGAAATTCAGCACACTTCAGATGCTTCAGACAAGATAACTTAAAAGAAAACATCAATGAACATACTAGATGTGAAGTAACACTTAGCTATAACTATTATCTTCATCTTTCCACTCAATCAACAAATATTCAGAATTTTAATTTGGAAAAATAAATTAAAACTAAGCAGTGCCAGGCAAAACATGATTTGTTATTCCACTTCTCTCTCAATTTATACTCTTGTTCTCCTCTTTTTCCTCAGCTTTAATACAACATGATACTGTATTTTAGATCTGTTTAAAGTAATTATTGACCAATTTATTAAACAAAACATATCTTTAACTCAAATTTTTGCTGAGGAAGGAAAAAAAATAAGCTAGACATAAGGATGAATCTAATGATTTTTCTAACACTATTCTGTTGGTATTTATTAAAAAAAACCCTGAAATAAAAAGCCTAAATCCCTTAAACAACGTTGTCTCTCAATGAAACAAAACCAATTACAGAACACTTTCTACACTTACTAATAGACTTGTCACTTGATTTATTGCTTTCAGTCTCTTTTTCATGATGGAGTTTCTGCTCACGCTGTGCCAAACATCTTTTAGACCTTGGCCTTACATGGACTGGCGATGCATCTTTGTCCACTGAACTTTTCCTTTTTTTCGATTTACTCTTGTAAGGCTCATAGAGGCTATCATTTGAATCTTCTTCAATATCACTCGAGTCAGTGGTATTAGTTTCAGATAAGTCGTCTTTGTCGTCCACAACAGTATCTGTGTCATTCACCTTATTTTGTCGAAAAGGTGTAAGATGGACACTCTCTTCAAGATTAAAGTCATAAGCATCACTGGAGCCACCCAAGAAATCCAACTTTTCTTTGGAAGCCTCTTTACTCTGTCTTTTTTTTGGTCTTTGTCTGGAAGTATTTTTAGGCAATTCCAGTTTTCCCTTCTGATGTTTCTCTTTCCTTAGTTGAGATTGTTCTCCGCTTTTACAATCACGTTGTTTAAGATCAGAATTATTGTTCAAGTTGAACTGTGCAGTTTCAGAATCTCTCCGCCTCAACACCAGCTCTGAACCTAACTTGTTTTCATTCAACTGAGAAACATCTGAATTTATGTTTTCTACAGTATACTCCTCTAGACTTTCCTCAAGTCTAGTTTCATCCCGTTTAGAAAGCTCTTTTGTTGAATCAGGTGCTTCTGAATGGTCCAAGGCACCAGTGCAAAGTTCATCATTATCTCTCATCTTTGAATAGCGACGCCTGGTGGACACACTTTTTGGTAACACATTACCAAATCCATACTCTCCACTTGAAGAAACGTTTTCCAGGCCTGGCCCTAGGATGTCCAGATGACAATCAGATGTTTGTCCTTGTAATTGAAAAGAAAAAGTAATATTAAAGCTAAATAGTGACAACCTGTTAAGGTTTTGTGCAAATTTTGAACCTGTCAAAAATTAAGACTATTCTTAGAATTTTATCCACAGATTTGCACAAACTAGTATTTCGCCATCAAGATAAGCTCTGTTTAATGCAGCTTCCAGGCAGAAAGCAGTTATGTATACTACAGTAGGATTTTCCTCTAAACTTCTGTTCAGGAAAGTTAGCTACAGGTTATTTTTCTGAGTATTTTGCTTTGTTAACAATTGTTGATTTCATACATGATAATGCATGACTAAAGAAAACTTTACGCTGTTGAACTGTTTGGTAGATAATGAAACTAGACTGCAGGTATATAGAAGACAAAGCATTTTCAAACTCCTCCCTCATTTTGCTAGGCATCTTCATTCAAAGAGTTCACCAGTTGCCAACATTAATATCTAACACCTTTATGATAAGTGGAAAATTACTTGACAGTTACTTCAAAAGCAGTAATTACGTTTTAAACTTATACTCAACACTTTTTTTTCCTCATTCAGAACAGAGCAGTGTCCGATATTTTTGTTTAGTTACCTCTGTCTGGAACTACTTTGATTAAGGAAATGGCATCATCAGATTTCTCATGCATCTCTGACAGAGAATGAGCCAGCTCATTTCTGTCACTATCAGCCTCCGTCCCACTTAGAAGTACTTGATCATCTCCATCAGCACACTGTAGAGGTCTTCTAGAGAAAATATCAAAGGTAGCATTTACTGAATAGCTATGTTTTATGACAACGAGCAACTTCTTTACATTGGATTTCTTCCCTTCTTCCAGTCAGAAAATTAAGCTTATTGTAACCAATATAAAATAGGTATTAACAAAAGATACTTACACTGAACATATTTGTCCTATGACACTGGAACTATGTTCAAGAACTGAAGAAAGCACTCTCCGTTTCTGTCAACAAAATAAATCTTACTGTGACTAAACAGCTGAAACAAGCTTGCACCATATACAAATTTTAGACAACAGCCAAGTTACCCACAGAAGAGCCAAAGAGGCCTTTGATTCTTTTTCTTTCTGGCTGGCTAACACAAAGCGCTATGAGATCTCACGTACTTGGCTCCTGCAAGTCAACACATTCATCACGAGCCCAATCATACAGGTAGTGGACAGGGGAAGAAGCTGTGAGCATGGTACAGGGAACAAGACACAATCGTAGAAAATCAGGACACTCCTACTGCCTTGTAGGAGAGCCTCAGTCTTACTGACAACCTACTGCACACCCCCCAAGTGTGGGGTCCCACATCATACTGGAAACTGTGGGACTAGTTGTACCTCCAAAACAAGGCTCAAATCTCAAAAGCTATGTGCATCTATGCTAGAAAGATAAAGGGGAAGACTTAACGGAAATCCCAGCCTTCAAGAGGAAAAGGTACTTACTACACCTATGGAGCACAAATTCTTTGCTGGGCCAAGGAGATCAATTGATTCCATTAAATTCTGAGAAACTTTTGAAATGATCTCATTCAAGGCTGACAGTCGATTCTAATGGTCAAAAGAAGGAAGATAACACTGTTACTGTCATACTCTCGTATCAACTACCAATGCAATAACTTCTTGTCAGTATTACGAGATTATTAAATTCTGAAGATACCTGTGTCAGGTACCTTCAACTATGATAAAAAAAATTCACAGATGATAGATTTTGATTAAAGAAGAAAGAGTGGCTAGAAAAAAAAAATATATTTAGTTAATGACCAGATTAGGTGAAAGTATGACACAATGTGGTTTATACATTGAGTTAATTTTTTATGAAACATTTAAGATTGTAAAAGTCTCAGTGGAGAAGCGCAGATTTTGATGTTCAGCTTCACTAAATCACAAAGTTATTATTAAAAAATACCTCAAGAAGTCCTTGTGCTTCCTTGAACCCCAGATGTCTTTGCAAGTCAAACATCTGAACCTTCAGATCTTGATACTCTTTCCTTAAATGAAGAATGGTAGCCTGGGCATCCTTCAGTTTGAGCTTTTCTTCTTGCAAAGCCTGAGCTAGAGCTTTGTTGTTTGCTTGGATGCTCTTCATATGCATGGAGCTACTAGCTGCAAGAGAACAGTAAGTATTTCAACTTGGTTTAAAAAAAAAAAAAATCATGAAAGCTATTAAGATATTTAACCATCTTACTTGCTATTTTGCACTTCTTGGTGGAGATCTGGCTAGTTTTACCCAACTTTATCCATTTTTGATTTCTTTTCTCTTTCATGCGTTCTTTTATATCATCCAGACTGTCTTTGAAGGGCTTTTTCAAGCGTTCAGCCATCTTCTACCTTTAGAAACATAAAGGGTGAAGAACTCATTAAGCCGGTGTTGCACGATGCTCCCCCAACGCCAAAAGAAAAGGAAGAGAGAAGCAATAATAAATTTTACGGTATTTTCAAGTTGCACGTACGCACATAGAAGAGGCTCACAAATACGAAAGGACACACAGCGACGGCTGTTTTCACAGGAGTTTTTGCAGCACGGCTGCAGTCACCGCTGCCGACTGCCCGAAGCGCAGAACGCGCGGTGCCGGCAGGGCAGGCCGGGCCGAGGCCTTTAAACACCCGCACCGGGGCGGTACGACGGACAGCGAGGGAAGGGGGGCGAG